CTTTTTGACAATTGTAGTATATGTATAAGTAGGGATCGTTCTGGACCGGGGATTAGGAGGGATTGTTAATCACTTGGATTTGACTCAAAAACGTAAAAACAAGTTTAAAACACTAAACTAAACTTGAAGAATGCAAAACTAAACTTTAAAACACCAAAACAAACCAAAATACTCAAAATACATAAAAACACAAAATAAGATAGAATAGTACTAAAACTAAACAAAGTATGGGGGGGAGGATTGAGTTTTGGACGAAATTAAACTAAAATGGATAGAATGTAGAGAAAACAAATTGTAAATATGAATCTGACGGAAATGAATGGATGGGAAGCTAGCTAAGGGGTTCATCTCCACACATGTTATACTTGCATACAAAACGATTTCTAATTGCTTTTCAAAAAAACCATGAATTCTCAACACCCCGGGTTAATTAGGTCCGCTTAAATTAACCGTCAAGTTTTCCTTAAGTTAATGAATTGTATGATTGCATACGACAACCCAAAGCATTCCTCACAAGTTCCCTACATGAATTGCATAATAGAGATACAAGCAAGAATCATTAAGTTCTTTGAAAACTATAAGTGTTGACGAGGCATTCGTTACTATGATTGCATGAAACTTATGCCAATAATTTGTTTAACGCGATTGTTTATAAGCAACCTCCACTACTTGTGAATATAAGTTCATAACTATTAGGTGAAACTCACTTATATTCTAGCGTCATATTCATGCATGAAAATTAAGCGTTCATTCTCAATAAACATACATAAATAGGTTATCAATCAAACAGTTAAACAAATTGCATTCACAACTTATGAAACGTAATTAGAAGTAATAAAATCATATTGCAAGCATAAACATATATTTCGAATCCCCCCCCTAACCAAGGGGGGGTTTAGTTCCTCATACGTACAAAACAAAGAGAATTGAAATTAAATATTGAAATCAAAGAAACACCTAAACATTCCAACAACTCAAACTTGAATTGTATGAACGTTTAGGCCCTCTTCTCTTCCTCTTCGTTGTAGCATAAGGTCTAAGGATAGTTTGATGGTGTGGATGGTTTGGGGAGTGGTGGAAATAGAAGCAATGGAGGAGAAGTGGAAGGGGGGCTCACGGTTTTGGATTCTAAGGGGAGGTGTTTGTGTTAGTTGTGGTGTGAGAAATGGAGAGATGGAATGGGGAGTGAATGAATGACAAATGAATGAAGTGGGTGTGGTTTATATAGAGAGAGAATGGGTGAGAATGTGGCTGCAATGCATGTGAAAAACATCTAGGAAAGTGGGTGGAAAGCTGGAATTGCACAAGGGGAATGCTGGAAAGGCAAGGGAAGTGCACGGCATGGGTGTTTTGGTGCATGTGTTGGCTGTTTTGTTTGTTGGTTAAAGCTTGTGTTTGCATGTGAATGTTGTTTGTGTAAAGTGTGTGTGAATGCATGTGGATTAAAGAGTGAATGGTGGCTGAAATAATGATGGAAAACAGCTAGGAGAAGTATGGAATGCATGTGAAATGTAAAGGGAAAAGCTGGAAATGGCTAGGAAGGTCACGGCATGGGTGTGTTTGTGTGTTGTGGCTGATTTGTTTGTTGGTTAAAGCTTGTGAGTGAATGATTAAAGATGCATGTGGATGAATTATACAATGGGAAAGTATGTGATTGACAACTAGGGTGAATGGTGGCTGCAATGATGAAGTGTGATGGTTGAAAATGGCAAGGGAAATGCATGTGTTTGCAAAGCAAGGAAGGTGTTTTGTGCATGTGGCTGCAATGTTGTGCAATGATGGAGGAATAAGTGCATGTGGTTGAATTGGTGGTGAATGTGCATGGCAAAGAATGGATTTGGCTGCAATGGTGTGTAATTGGGCTAGGGTTTAAGTGCATGAAATGGACCCAAATTGCTCCCCCTTGCATGGCAAGGAATGGTGTTTGTGTTAAGCCCACGGCAAGGTGAATGTAATTGGGTTAGGGCCATTGTTTTGTGTCCTCAAGTGCATACAAGGCCTTCAATTTCATCCAACACTTGGGCTCCAAGCATAAGCTATCCATCCTTAGCCCAATAGTGCTCCAAAAAGGCCCCAAAACACTCCACAGTGCATCCTTTCGTCAAACACGTCTTATGATCCTGAAAACACACAAAAGAAGCATAAAGGACTAAAATAACTAAAGAAACATAACGTAAATGCACGAGAACTAGCCATTTAAGTAGCATGAATATGCTCCTATCATGATGCCGAGCAAATTATCCAAAAAACTTCCGATCTAGCAATGAAAGCTAGGTTCCAGCATATATGTGAGGCTCGGGTCCTTGGCTTTGAGGTCGACCCCTACACAGATATTGACACTGCTGAATTACCTTTTTCACTCGAAGACCTTCAGCACTTGCGATATCATTTCAAAGTTTTCTCGGTCATATCTCTGTTCGGCCTTACGGCCAATAAGGAAAATCGTGTGGCCCGTTTAGACGCATACCTGGACACAAGGAACACCCGCATCGCCTACGAAGAACGAGCCCATAAAGTACTACAAGAACAAAATAAATCTTCGGCAATAAACGTGCTCGAGGAAGATAACCAGAAAAGGATAGATTAAGTCTATACGCCTCAGAAGCAGGTTCATACCGAAGCGCTAAATCGTCCAATTGAAAACGTTCCAACGACTGATACTACGTCTACTACTCTGGAAGACAACGACCAATACCCGATAGGTCCCTCGGTCCTCGAGCATATAGAGATCAGTATGGTCCATGTCCTACCGGCTGAGTTCCAACCAAGCACCCATCAGTCAAATTTCTTAGATGGGGATGTAGTTGCCGAAGAAGCAACACAAGTGGATTTCGTCGCTACCGACGACGATGGAGAAGTCCGTAAAGGCGACAACCTTAAGGCAGCCCTAACCGAATTATTTCCCCGTTCCCTCTCTGTTAATCTCCAACATTTAAAGTCGTTATACGTCACGGCTCATATTAAAGGATATCCCATTTCTAAGGTGTTTGTCAACTGTGGAGCCATAGTCAACATCATGCCGATTTTCGTCATGAAGGCATTACGCCATTCCAATGACGAGCTTATCCCATTAGGGATAACGATGAGCAGCTTCATCGGCAACAAGTCTCAAACCAAAGGAGTGCTCCCGTTGGAAGTCAGCGTTGCTGGTCGTCACCACGTGACGATATTCTTTATAATTAACTCAAAGACTAATTATAATGCATTGCTCGACCGCGATTGGATCCACCAAACCAGTTGCATTCCTTCATCATTATACCAAGTTCTTATCTTTTGGGACGGCAAATCGGTTGTAGTGCACCCAGCCGATAATCAGCCATTTAAGACCAACATGATTCAAGCTCGCTATGATGACGACCACGTCGGCTATATCACCCTCCAAGGTTTTAACGAGAATGGACAGCCGACCAGAATTTCAGTTCAGAAAGCTATCGAGGTAGTCGCCGAGAGTGTACAACAAGATTTGACGAGACTCGGCTTGGCAGATCTAATTACCAATGCCGATGGTTGACGCCACCAAACAAGAAAGGCGTCGAGCCGCGGTTTCGTCAACCATGGAACGTCTGCTGGCCTATTGGTACGCCATTGCCAAACAACCACATTCCGGCATAAACTTAATTGAATTTTTGGCCAAAGTGGATAATGGCCCCGTTCTATCGTTCGACAACGTTCAGGCCGCACCAGCCGACCTTGAAGACAATCGGCCCCAAGTTAAAGACCCATTGGAAGAAATTAATGTTGGCACAACCGATGAGCCTCGACCATTGTTTATCAGTGCGTTATTACCACCTTCTATGAAGGTCGAGCTTTGTAAATTTCTTCATGAATTTAAAGATTGTTTCGCGTGAAGTTATCACGAGATGCCAGGCCTTGACCGAAACCTCGTCGAACATGAGTTACGCATTAAAGAAGGGTGTAAGCCTTTTCGACAACCCTCACGCCGGTTCTCAATCGAAGTACAACTCGGCATAAAGGACGAATTAGTTCGGCTTCTTAAAACCGGGTTTATTCGGACCGCCTGGTACGTTGAATGGTTGGCCAATATCGTCCCGGTGTTAAAGAAAAGTGGAACTCTTTGCATTTGCATCGATTTCCGTAACTTAAATCTGGCCACTCCCAAGGATGAATACACAATACCAATCTCGGATTTACTAATGGATGATGTAGCCAATCATGAAATGCTATCCTTCATAGACGGCCATGCCGGTTACAACCAAATCTTTATCGCTGAGATTGACGTCCACAAGACCGTCTTCCGTTGCCCTGGGGCACTCGGTACCTACGAATGGGTTATCATGCCATTCGACCTCAAGAACGTCGGCGCCACATATCAGCGAGCCATGAATACGATATTCCACGACTTGATCGGTACGGTCGTAGAGGTTTATATCAATGATGTGGTGGTGAAATCAAAAAGCCGCCGAATGCACCTGGATGATCTTCGGCAAGCATTCCTCCGCATGCGCCAGCATAATCTAAAAATGAACCCGACCAAATGCGCCTTCGGTGTATCGACCGATAATTTTTTAGGTTTTTGGTGCACCATCGCGGCATTGAAGTCGACGAAAATAAAGCTCGCGCAATCATTAGCGCTCCACCCCCGACAACCAAGAAGCAACTCCAGTCATTGCTCGGGAAGATAAATTTTCTTCGCCATTTCATCGCTAATTCGGCAGGCAAAATGAAAGCATTCTCTACATTCCTCAAACTTAAGGATTCCAACAAGTTTGAGTGGTGCGAAGAACACCAAACGACTTTTACGCAAATCAAGGTGTCCCTTTCCACGCCACTAGTACTAGTTTCACCTTGTCGCGGTAAACCTCTCAAATTGTACATTTCGGCAGCCGCTGAATCCATTGGTTGTCTCCTCGCGCAAGATAACGATGTTGGGCGTGAATAAGCTATCTTTTACCTCAGCCGTAATCTGAATTCGCCAAAGCTTAATTATTCGTTATATGCTCACTCGGCCTATCGTCAAACGTCGAATTAGGAAATGGACAATGGCTTTATCAGAGTTCAGTTTGCAGTACGTACCCCAAAAAGCCGTCAAAGGCCAAGCTCTCGCCGATTTTTGGGCCCAACACCCTTCTCCTTATGGCTTTGGGGGCAACGACGTCAACATCGGCTTAATCACAACACGCGACAGCCACTGGACGATGCATTTTGATGGTTCTAGTACCTCAACCTTGGCTGGTGTTGGTATTGACATTCAATCGCCCGACTACTACCGCTGGTATTTTTCTCTCAAGTTAGATTTCAGCTGCATGAATAATCAAGTCGAGTATGAAGCTCTTATCATCGGCCTTCACGTCCTACACGATTTAAAAGCAACCCATGTTCTTGTCCTTGGTGATTCTGAACTAGTGATTAACCAACTCAACGGCGTTTTCTGTTGCATAAGTTGTACTTTGACGCCCTATCAGATGATCCCTACCTATTTGGCCGAGTCGTTTGAACGGATTACATTTGAGCACATTTCGCGTATTCGGAACACTGACGCCGACGAACTCGCCCAAATTGCCTCCAGAGCATAACTCATGGGGGGCAAGCTAGTCCAGGTAACACCCACAGTCTTGCGATCGTACCCAGCCTTGGTTAACGAGTAAATTCTCCGGCGCAATCACGTGATACGCACGAAGGTGATGTGGTTACCATCATTACTAGAGCAGGGAGACCCCGTAGAAGTATGTGCCATCAAGACACTACCAGATAATTGGAGAAAGACGATTCTACAATATCTTGATAATCCCAATGGGAAACACGACGGGAGAACGAGGGTCCACGCCACAAATGACGTGTCATACCAAAACGAATTATACCGAAAGGGTGAGGATGGGTTACTATTACTGTGCCTAGGCCCATAAGAGGCTGTCCAAGCAATGGCCGAAGTACATGAAGAAACTTGTGGAGCTCACCAATCAGGACCCATAAGGCGCTGGTTGCTCCGATGACACGGTTACTTCTGGCCAAGTATATTAAAGGATTGCATCGAATACGCACGGGGATGCATACCTTGCCAGATTCATGGACCAGTGCAGAGTGCCCCGGCCGAATTACTCCACTCAGTTACTAAACCATGGCCGTTTAGGGGATGGGCAATGGACGTAATCGGCAAAATCACACCATCGTCGGGAGCGGCAAAACACGCGTGGATAATAGTAGCAACCGATTACTTCACTAAGTGGGTCGAGGCAAAATCATACGTCGAATTAACAGCCAAAGAGGTTTGCAGTTTTGTAGAGGAAAACATTGTGACCAGATTTGGCGTGCCAGAAATGAGCATAACCGACAATGGCACAATCTTCACGGTCAACAGGTTTAGGGAATACACAGTAAGTCTGAATATCCGACTAGAGCAGTTTACGCCGCATTACCCACAAGCGAACGAGCAGGCTGAAGCAAGCAATAAGGTATTAATTGGCATTCTTGAAAAAACGGTAAAAGAGAGGCCTGGGATGTGGCATTTAAAGTTAAACGAAGCATTATGGGCCTACCGAACTTCACCCCGATCCGCCACCAGAACAACTCCCTACTCGTTAACTTACGGACACGACGCTGTGTTACCAGTCAAGCTAAGTATAAACTCATTACGAGTAATCGAGCACGGTAGTTTGCTTAGTGCCGAATATAATCAAGCTATGCGACAAGAGTTAGAAGACTTAGAGAAGAAATTCGAATCGACGCGTGTAATTTATTAATATCACAGAAGAAAATTGCCGAGCGAGCTTATAATCAACACGTCAGACAAAAAATGTTCGGCGAGGGAAAATTGGTTTGGCAGATTGTGTTGCCTGTAGGGATTAAAGACCCCAGGTTCGGCAAATGGTCGCCAAATTGGGAAGGACCATTCATCGTCCACAAAGTTCTCGGCAATGGGGCATATGATCTTAGAGATCGGACTGGTTTAATTCACAAATTGCCAATTAATGGGAAATTTTTAAAGAAGTACTATCCAGTCATGTGGGAAATGCAAGAATGAATATCATTGTATTAAACTCATAAGAAGGGCGAACAGATACATTCAAAAGGCTCCTAAAAATTCTAAGGGGATGAAGGGAGGAAAGTCTCGAGAGCAGCCTTCAACTCCAGCCACCTTACTTTGCTCAAAATTATCTTAGCCTGCCTCGTCTTCTTATTAAATTGCAGTTGCTGGATGTGCTTTACGCCGGCAGCGAAGGTCATAAGCCGAGCCTTATTCGCCTCAAAGTCCCTCTCAAGCTCTGAAGCAGCAACTGACCTTTGTTGTTGAAGCTTAACAATTTGACGCTGAAGCTCAGAAATCCGGCGATCAAACTCGGTCAGCTGTGCCTTCTTCACTTTTATCGCCTCCACCTCTGCCCGGCTAGCCTCATGCGCAATCTTGGCCACCTTCAGGTTGTCCTCGGCCCGTAAAGCTTGTTCAAAAATGGTGAAGTGTTGCCGAGTCCGCTCCAGAAGGTTAGTCAAATAAGCGATATTCTCCGTCCTCAGAAAACCACCATTTGCAAGGTCGTTCAGGCACTCCCCAACGGAGTCAAGACCCTTGCATTGGAGCACCTGAGAGGCAGAGAGAGACAGAAGCTCCTGTAGCCTAACAAAAGCTTGGGTCTCGGCCACAGCCTCCACTGGTTCGGCAGGGGTAGTAGAGGAACCGACCGCGCCAGTAGTGCTCTGAAGAAGAGCATCTAGCTCGACCTCCCACTAAGGCTGCACAAAGAGGAAAATTTGTAAGTGAAAAGAAAATTAGATGGAAAGCATAACAGATGGAATATGTTTCTAGACCTGCCGGGAGAAAACCTCGGCCAGGTCCTCTGGTTCATTGCTCGAACCTAGAGAACTTAATGGCCAAGCCCAGTGCCTAAGACCGGCTCTTAATTCACGCGGTCGATAGAAGTTATCTACATTTGATGGCCACTAAGGTGGCCAGGAAATATAGATAACACTCATCGGCGCATAAAATTGTCGGTGAAATGAACGTTCGGGCACCTGACATTTAATATTTTCCTGAGTTCAGATGCGTCATAATAAAATTAATGAAGAAAGGAGAGTGAGCCTTACAAAGGCCAAGGTAACTTCTTGTGGATGAATGTTGAGGTCTTCATCTTGTGGATGGAGCGGCGTTTCGACCGTCGCCTCAGGCTCAACCAGGGGCCTCTTCCCACGGTTAGCCATAAGAGGATCCACTTGGACGGCCGCCTCGACCACAGGAGGAGGATCGATGGAAAGGTTGGTTGGTCGAGGGCGACGCTTCAGCGGAATTTCGTCATTCTCGTCGCTCTCATCATCCTAAAATAAAAGCTGTTATGACTTGAAAATCGAATAAACGAAGATCATTAGCAATGGAATCATACCTCTTCCAGAATAATCGTCGGTCGCTGGATAGGGGATGTCTCTACAGGTGCGGTCGTCTCTTCCAAGACAGGCACAATGACCGGCTCACAGTTGGAGCAGCAGCCGGTTCGGTCATAACCCCAGTCGTCGGTACTGCCGGGGGCATTTAGTCAGCCAAGGCCTGGACAACAGAGACGGAAGGAGAGACGACAGGAGCGGTCGCTTCCGTGGTCTGGCTAGAGATAACGTGAATTTCCCGCTCTTCCTTCTTCGCCAATTTCTTGATGCGTTTCGAAGGGCGAGGAGCGTCATCTCCCGTCTCGGCGCCCTGATGGGGTCGCTTGGTCGGCAGGGTTCACCGAGTAGTTTTAATCTACTTCGAGGAAGAGATCGATTTTTTCTTGGCCACCGCTGCGGCGACCACATCCGCTTTCTTCAACAACCGACCATCTGAGAAGAGGGGTAGTGACAATTGAAGAAAGAAATAGAATAAGGGGTAGCCGTCTACCTCGGGTCGGCTCTTTGGATTGAGAGGCAGAGATTCTTCTCGGCCGATCACCGAAAAGTCTATCGGTGATGTTTTCGACCGCAGCCCCAAAGAAGGCTCAGGTGTATTCTTCCCACCAGTCACCGAAATTGTTTATGTCGAGAAATTTGGGGAGAGCTGGTCGGAGGTGAAACGTTTTGCACTGATCCTAAAACTCCTTCTCAAAATCTCTGCACTCCCTTTCCGATGAGCCGAAAATGCGCTCTCGTTTAAAGAGGGAACGAGAAGTGAGTAGAAGGACCAGACAACCTTAAAGGTATCCAAGTTGACGGGCCGTGAAGTAGGGATGGTAGACTTCCCAACTCGCTAGGCGAGGATCACAGCCAAGGGGAAGGTCGCGTGCTAGCACGATCGACCCCCAATTCTGGCAGAGGGTAGCGTCTTCACTATCATTCCAGGTTAATGATGGAAGCCTGATGGAGCAAGGGTGCTCTTGACGACGACATACTAGAAATTCATCGTCGAAGAGGATTTTTAGGCCGAAGAGGTATTTGAAGACTTCTTCGGCCTGGTGAGGAGGCGGCGGCCAAGAGCCAACTGAAGGCCGAGCAAAGTAGTAGGTTGAAATGCAGAGACATCCGGCCGAAGTGTGGTAAAATAGACTTGCAACCAGAGTTGGAAGACCTAGAGGGGACCATTCTGGTTTGGTTCAATTTTTCCAATGGTCGATTCGGCCTGGCAGCGGAAAAGATTGGCAAACAAATGAATTTGTTCTCAGCCAAGGCCTCGGCCACCGACATGTTCTCAACCAAACACTTGTTCGACCGGGTACAACAAATGAATTTGTTGTACCGGTAGAATAGGAAGGCTTCACGTTCTCCGTTCCTAAGACCCTTCTCGCCTCGGCCAACGAAGTGGAGAATGAGGGTGTTGTAGTTGAAAAAGTTCTTGTGTAACTTCTGAAACTCTTCTTTCGAAGGCTCTCGACCATCTCGACTCAGGGTTTCGACAGCTCGATCTTCGAAGAGCGTCTTAAGGTTGAGATTCCCCAAGAGAGCCGTATCTATCAGGATGCCAGATGGAGGAGTCCCGAGAATAGCCAGACGTCGAGGATAGTAGGGCCGAGAAGGCCAAAAGGAAGGACCATGGTGTTGGTGGCCGAGCACCAAAAACTCAGCGTTGCCATGAGGAGCTTTTTATCTATGGTTAGCTCCATGGTCGAAAGCTTGATGGTGTCATAGATACCAAGAGCCTTCCACTCTTGGCCGAAGAAGTTTTCCATCCGGACGACCTAAGTCACCCAGTTGGCATTGGTCGTGGGCCAGGCTCCTTGGGGCCTCAATAGGTCCCATTTTGACCAGTCGAACCCTTGCAGCAAGGGTGCCAGGCAGTGAGCCTTGAAAAGAGTAGTGATTGACGAAGGAACCGTATCCTTAAAAAGCGGCCCCAGGATTTGGCGGGTAGTGCTCAGGTCACCCTCGAAACGCAGAGTTTTGATGGCGTTCCGGTCAATGAAGCTCTTGCATTTGCTGCATTCGGCGCTGAGCTTGGAAATGAAGGTGCTGGAACTCATTTTGGAATTTGGAAGAATGTTTGGGAGGATTTCTAGGGTATGAGTTTGTTTTCTGGGATTTAGAAAGCAAAATGGCTGAGAAAGTCTTTGAAGGTTTCTGGAAACGTGAATGCAAATGAAGGGAGTTCAAGTATTTATAGGCGTTTCATAAGGAAGATCAAACGTTCAGTATTCAGAAGCGCTAGATTTTTGAATTTGAGGGAAAAATCAACCGGGAAATGGCCAATCATTTCGGATATCTTGGGAATCTTCAAGGATAGGATTGAGGTTTTCAGGGATTTGGGACGCACGATTGCGCGTGGCCGCGATTTTAATGCATTGATGAGGAAGGGACGTTTCGGTGGGTGCATGTTTTCGAAGGCCATGATTGAAAGTTGTTAGGTTTATCGGAGAATCGACACATGGCAGTATGTCATGAGTAACAAAGATCGTGCAATCATATTCTATAAATGCGTATGGTAGTGGTTATCGAGGACAGTTAAGCCTAAAGGCAAAAGATGTTTTCGCTTCTTCAAGGTTGAGATTCGACCGAAGCTTGGCAGTCGACAACCTCAGAAGCAAGGGGGCAATGTTTGGGCCCAAAATAATATTGTTGGGCCGAGTGTAGGTTTGTGCTCGGCCCAAAGCCGTGTCAAAAGTATTATGGGCTGTCTGGTGATTCCGGGCCATTCAGCAGGGATGGTCGAGTCATATCACAAGAATGAGTAGTTCAGATAAGCAAAGGGGTCGAGGAAGTCCTGGTGCAATTAGGATTCTTGACCAACAATGAATAAAGCCCTAAAAAGGGGTGAGTTCAAAGTCCTGGGAATAAGGTTGTTCAAAGCAAAGTTGGAACAAAACAAGGAATCCCAGTCCAGATATAAGTTTAATTCAAACTCAAGAAGGAGTTGGTGCTATAAATACACAACATCATGCAACAATTGAGGACCTGGAATTCAACACACAATTGCCCTGCGCAAAACCTCTCAAACATCTTGAGATTTTCAATTTTCTTTTCCTCACCGACACACCTTCAGTTTGGATAGACAGCACTGTGAAGGCAATCGGCGAACAGCTTCAGTTTGGATAAACAGCACTGTTGTCGTAGAATCAGACGACCGAGGAGCACTTTCAATTTGGATAAACAGTACTGCGTCAATGCCGATTGGTTACTTATCCAAGTCTTGGTCGAGAAGGATTTTCGAATCCTTATTGGCAGAGGTCATCTTATTAGCTTTCTCAGTGAAGTAAGGTGTTTCGAGTCACGACATTCGGCGTATTGGACACCGAGTGATTTTATGATTGGATACTCACAAGTGAGTTTCAGAGTTCTGCATTCTGACGGCCGAACCACATTCACTATCAAGACATACGTCACCTTTGAATTCTTGTGTCCGTGTAGTCTGGTATAGATACGACGTGCTTATACTATTACGAATATAATCACTGTGACCGAATCCGGCGCCGACGATTTGTGAACTTCGTAGAACTAGCAGCCTTGTCTTCAGGCTCGAGAATCCAAAGGTCGAGATTTGTTCCTTCCTCGGCCGCAGTCGCAAGATAAAGAAGTCAACAACGCACTCCATGCAACATCAACAAATTTTACTCCTCGGCCGACGAGTTGGCACGCCCCGCATTCAACCGAATGACGTAGTTAGCTTATTAGTGACTCGGTCTACGCGCCACTTAGGCTTTGTAATTTTTAAGGTCAACAGTCTCTCAAACTTGATCGTATCAAAGTTTCATAATTTTATACCAAGCGGTTTATTTATGGTGATGAAATAAAGAAGCAACGCGAAGTGCTGTCAAAGTGACATTTTGAACTTCTTTGGACTTTTTGGCATCCAAGATGATGTCTTTTGGGTTCGAGGTCTTCTGCAATTATGTTCAAGACATCTCAAACTTTAATTCTAGCCATTTTAGGCCTGTTTTGAAGCCCTGAAGATCAAAAAACGTGGCTGTTTTAAGGCTGTGCAGATTTTTGGCAGATTTCTCATATTTGATTAGGATTATGTTCCCTAATAAATTATAATTTATTTGGTTTCCTAGTATTTTTTTTTTCTGGTAGTATAAATAAGGCTTTTTAGCCATTAGGATTTGGAGGAGGAGAGAAAGAGGAGAAGAACGCATAATATTTGGGTAACTTTTCTAGGTTTTGATGATTCAAGTTTATTTTCAATGTGCTTTCTATCCTTGGTTTTTAATAATATTTTGTTTATGATTGTTCGTAACTAGTTTTATTTGCTAGGGCGAAGCCACGAGCCTTAACAAGAATATGTAGTTTTTTTTCAATTTGCTTGTGATATTATGCATGCAGGTTTGAATTAATAATCACCGGTTTAAACTATCTAATTTTCTTAATGCTTAGCTACCATTAAGATCTTTAGAAAAGTAATTTGATTCAATTTTGGTCGGAGGTCAGTCCCTAAAATTGACGAAGGCTTTTTGTGATTAATATGTGCGACTTCACTTAGGATGAATATCACGTCTTAAGGGTTGTATGGTTTTTTAAAACGTTTCGCAAAGCTTGATGAGTCATGCATGTTTAGATTTGATTTGAATACTACAGACGGGTTACATGTTTGATATACGCTCTATGTTGGGGGTCCAAGTAGGCATATATTAGGAAAACCTAACCTTCAAATATGCATGGGATTGTTACGGTTTGCATGTTTGATATACGCTCTATGTTAGGGGTCCAAGTAAGTCATAAGTAATTGGAAGAACTAGATAGAATTGTTAAGATGACGGCGAATTCCTAGGCTTTTACAATTCAATTTTCAAATATCGTTTTCTTTTAGTTTATTTTATTTTATCACTTTATTTAATTATTTTCTATTAAATTCGTTTTTATTATTTGAAATCATAAAATCACTTTTTCTCAAAACTTTGTTTTAAATAATTAATTAAGATTTGATTTAATATAAATTATTCATTCAATCCTTGAAGAGTACAATTGTGCTAAAGCTGCTATACTATAATTACTTTGTACTTCACGTATTTAAAATGTTTTTACCTCTATTTCTAAGAGTGGTAAAAATCTCTATCAGTATTAGAAATGACAAGCACCATATCCACACTCACCCGTATCAAATCTTGACAGTTCTCAGTTGTCAAGCAACTACGTTGTTCGGGACCCACCATATACTCCCTTGTCCTGTTGCCCATGTCAGGACTGCCAAGAAATCAGTCTTTGTAGACTTTTCCGCAATTACATCCTTTCTCCACATTTTACACCTTAATTTGCCGGTATGCTTTACCATTCCGAGTGGTGATCTCTCTTTTGTTATATCTCAACCACCCATTCTGAAAACATCCATCTTTCATATTTTAATAATTTGGGGGGAACAAGCATGGGTACCCTAGCTCCACAACTCGTGCAATTCGTTCATAGAAGCAGAAGTTACCAGAGGATTTTCATTCTTGAAAAGGCTTGCATGCCCTTACCCTCCATTTTGAACGAGAAAAATAATCTTGAAATAAGAATTTATAAAGTAGCATGCATTAATCTTTTAATTTGAATTCATAACCATAGACATTTAGGATTTTCACGGAAAAAAAAAAAAATTGAAATTTAGGACCTTCACTTTCCAAGTTTAAATTCCATGTTGTTTGTATCATACTTCACCAATCCCAAAACTACCAAGTACTGGTCAACTTCATACCTAACCCACTGAAGAAGTCGTGTTGAGGCAACCTTGCCAAAGCACACGATTTCCTCTCCAATCACAACACGACATGCATTAACATCAAAATAAAACTCATACAGTCCTGCATCAACCGTGGACGGGAGCCGAATACTCTCCTCAACTATAAAAGGAGATCATTCTCCTACAATAAATTCCTAATATCATCTTGTACTCGTCATTAGAACTCACCAATGATGATTATGCTTGAACCTATGTATCGTAAACTCATCACTAGTAATGACAACTCCTCTATCCCGTGGACGTAGCCCAACTTAGGATGAACCACGTACATCTTTTGTTTATTCTCTATCGCTATCTCTTTACATATTATTTTCATTAGGTGACTGGATCAACCTTACGAAGATCACAAACCTGACACTTTATATTGTTCCAAAGTCTATCCAATTTTGTATCTAAATAACAGAAAAAAAAAAAAAAACAATAATATTTATTGTTTTTGACAGATAGGTTGGAGCGAAAAGTTGGACAATATGACAAAATCCAAATAAGCCCTCAAAACCAAATTTGACACCTTAAATTTAAGGTCCGGAGATACTCTTAGAAATAGAAAAGCTGAACAAATTAATCTGCGTAATTTTCAAGGGCGGAATTTGCAAGCGACTTTCAACTCGCCGGATGGTTTGTCACTGGCAAGTCCACTGTCCACCCAAGAGGAGTAGCCTCCTTCCATGTTGGTCACATGCTGGAAACCCTGCAATTATTTTGCCATTGTAATGCATTTCTCTTTAAATTTATTACTATGAAAAAAACAAAAACCAGAATAACGGCAAGCAATTAAAGGAACTCTGTAAGTTTGGAAACTTACTTCATTTAGAAGATCAACACAAGCTTTAAGTGCTCTTCCTCCACTGTTGCAACCCTTCAAATATATTTCAAAAAAATCCGCACTGATCAGATGAGAATTCTCATGACATTAAGAAAGAAGGAAAAATTAGGCAATGTCGAGATGATGTTTTAGTAAATACCACGACCAAGTGATCCTCTTTCTTGAAGGTTGAGGAAATTTGCGTGAGAAATTCAGGGTTTTTCACTCTACCTGCAGATTATTATCACAAGAAAGAAAAGAAAACAGAATTATATGCTAACTGAGTTGTTAGAGCTGGAATGTAATACATACATAAATACATACATATATACATATATATATATATATATATATATATTTCAAGCCCTTTTAGGGAAAAAATGGGGACTAGTTATGAGATTTACTCCACATCAAACTTTAACGATTCGAACCGTATTATTTTATAAATTTTGATTCACATATCATCTTTCAAAAATTCAATTCAATCCAAAATCATTTGCCTATTTAATTGTCACTATAAAATTTCAATGTTTCTTAAAACATATTGTTCGTTAATTTATTTGAACTTAATTAGATGCTTCAAATATTTCTGATTAGACTAATAATTTCAAGAAGGTGTAACTTGAAGATAGATAATTCAGATTATTGAAGTTAAATATAGTGTGGACTCCACAACTAATCCCCAATTTTTTAAGAAAAATGAGGATCCCTCCGTTAAAGGCTCTGTACGTGTGTGTGTGTATATATATAAATTCATATCCTGAAAGAAACATTATATACCTTCTTCTGTGATGAGCATGTAAGGAATGTTCATGGCATTTTCAACGTGGCTCTTGTTGAACTCCTCAATCGTCCTATTGATATTAAAATTTTCTTATTAGTTTTGGATCAGAAAAAGCAAGAGTTTCTTCTATCATTTATTTTTTTAGCTAGCAATAAGATGAATCCGCACCTGACATCCAGATAACGGTGACCTATACTGAGGAGACCTTTCGCTGTATAGACGTCGACACTTGCAACGTCTTCAGGCCTACAAAATAACACAAACATATTTTCAATCAGATCAGAACTCAAACTGTTGTCATGTAGGTTTTGATTATTCTTGAAGATTAGAAAATGAGATGATCTTACCTTTTCATGGCAGCCATTGTAGTACTAGCAGGTTTGACTTCAACTTCTTGGAACCCCAGGAGACTAGTTGGCACAACCTATGAAGTGCCAGAAGAGCCTGTCATGTCTATATATACAAGTGTTCAAAACAAGGAGTTGACTTTAATTACTATCCAGTTATGAGTTATGGATCATTAATCTCCTGATAGATGTATTTAGCCTTTAGTCACTTGCTTGAACATATAATTTTTTAAGGCTAAACGGTTGACTTTACTCTAATTGAAATATTTATTGGATAAATTATTTTAATTAGTTTAGAAGTTGCTTCCTTGATTATGTAAAGTATACAGCCCATTAATCATTTAAAATAAAAGAACGAACCTATATATATATAGGGTTGGAGAAGTATCAATTTTGGGCATATGCTTTGGCGATCCTGTGGACATACGTCACCAGGGGCTGAGGAGGTGAAAAGGGAAGGAGTGAAGAGTATAGGACTGACTACTGAGAGGGAAAAGAAAGAAAGAGTGGAAAAAGAAACGTGAAAATCCTAAATGGGTGTGTAGCTCAAGTGGGTAGAGCCAATTAATATCTCTTAGGTTCATTGGGATATTTCCCTTTGGTCTAATTTTGCATATATAACGTTTTAAAATATATAGTAGTGAAAAATAATTATATTTATGCATTTCAGTGTGGATTTGACCTCCTCTCTCCTAACAAATAATTTGATTCATTAACTTTATCATTTGTCAAATGTTGGATCCCTCTCCCCCTAACAAACAATTTAACCCACTAATTAACTCTATCGTTTGTCCAAAAAAATAAATAAAAGTTAAAATAACTAACAAATAAGTAGCCTCATAAGGTGGTTTAAATGTTGTAAAAGTAGCATTACTATTTCAGTAATAATGTTAGGGATACCAAATTTTGTCAATCAAATTATGTGAATGTTGATGATTGATTACTTAAGTGTTGATTAACATGCTTATTTCCTATTGATGATACATTACTTGGTTTAAAATTTGGAGGAAACATTTTTGCTCACCACGATAAATTATGGTATATGCTCACTATGCATCTAATCAATTGACATGTGTCATTTTATTTAACCTTGGTTAATTTTTTTCAAAATTGAAAAAAATAACAATTAATGTGAAGGTTAGGTGAAAGGTAAATGCTCACTTTATTCTGAGTACATCAATATTTTTATTGTAAAGGGAGGGGAAGTTTAGCAAAGTCACACAATGGGCAGCTTAATTTGGTATCGGATTCGCCATCCACAAGATTCGAATCTAAGACCTCTCACTTTCGAAGCTCCAGACCTTAGTACTGAGTGACATCAATGCTCACCTTATTGTGTAGTCGTTAGCACAATATATATATATATATATATATATAATGAAACGATAGCAGTTCTATTAAAAACCTATTACAAATATTAAAAAAGACATTCTAAATAACATCCAAGAGGTCCTCAATCCAAAGATACTTCAACAAAACGTAAAATGTCAACTTAACTAAATGAATAATGCTAGGGAGATTAAATTTGGAGACTAAACTTGCAAACTAAATGATGTGTCACCAATAGGAATGAGCATGTTTATCGACGTTTAAGTAATAAGCCAATTATCAACTTTCATATCTTTTAGTTTTCAAAATTTAGTCTCCCTAACATTACCCTAACTAAATTAGTTGCCACATACTCGCAAATTTGAGGATAAGACATGTGAGAATAAGCAAAGGACAACTTAGGCCAAACTAGTTGCCAATTGAAATTATTAGTTTAGAAGTTGTTAGCTATATAGTAGTACCAAGTTGTAATATTGATTTGTAAACAATTAAATGGGAATGTGAAACTTAAGAGGCGTTGTGCGTTTGTTGTGCATGCTAAGGCAAGCTCGGGCATATGTGCACGCCACTAATTGCATTCTTTCCTCGATTGATTCAGCTTCTACATTTTTACAATTTGCATATGAACAAATTCCCAAGTATACTGGTACAACTTCTCTTCATTCAACTTCCTTAATGACGGGAACCAAATGCTTGTCGAGCTTCCATGCTTCCCATGTCACTCTTCTCCAGAAGGTACCTCAAATTAACACAGCAACAAAATTACATTTTGTTTTTTTGTATAAAATTAAGCGCATATAATTTTGGTTAACTAATTAGATATATATATACACACACATACATACATACATACATACATACATATATCAATGTTTTAAAAGGCTTGCCTCAAGGTGCGCCTAGGTGGCCTTTGAGCCTGGGCGTGAGGGTTGCCGTCTCTGTTTTGAGGGAGTGGGCAGAAGGTGGCTGAAGGCATCGCTGGAGACTCTGTTTGGCTTTATTTTTTCCTTTTTCTTTTTTACTCCCAAATCCAAATTTTAGGTAGGGTTTTAACTGACTCATACATCTTCCTTGCACTATCATCTCTCTACCTTTTTTTTCTGATTTTTATTTTTGGCCTAATCGGATAAACGTTCTTCATAGTGATAAGGTAATTGGAAGATAAGCCATGTGATTAAAAAAATTAGGATTTAAGCCCTCGTAGTGATGCTCTGTTAATAAAGTTAGTCCAAAAAACAGGATAAAAATGTAATTTGACCCGTACACCTTCCTCTTTCCTCTCTGTAATTTCACTTTCTTCCATTTCAGAATGTTGTATTTTGCATCTTGCATATCAGCAAGCACATGGATTTCTTCAATTGGACCAGCACATGGATCCCTTCATCGGAGTGGCCAAGCTCCGTCCTCACCAATCAAAACCCATCTACCCATTTCTCAGCAGAAAACTCAAAATCAAACCCTCAGTCGAATCCCAGCTACCTAGTTCATCAAGAATCACAATTTCAAACTCCAAAACGCTGCTGGTGTTCGCGTCCGGCGACGGCAAGTTGATCCATGCCGTCCACTACATGTTTCTGGGTGTGGGATTGGGGCTGCTATGCACGGTGATGAAGTGCTGCGACGTCATATATAGAAGCACTAGTCCCCAAATCCGATGACTTGACGCTCACGGCTCCCGGTGCTGTTCTGGTTTTGGGCGCCCTGTCGTATTTCTGGGCCGCCCTCGGCGTGACTCCATGGCTCTTTGACTTGTTTGTGGTAGCTTTTATTGAAAGGCTTTTCAGACCCACTTACAAAATGGTACTTCAGTTGATTTTTGTTTAAATTATGGGTTTTGATTGAAATTCTGAAGTGGGTTTTGTGTTGATAGTTGATATTTTGTTCTGGGGAAGAAGGTGTTGATAATGCAAAGTACAGCATCCCGAAATGGAAGATCGAAAATGCAAATTACAAACAGAGCAGAGAGACGAAGAAGAAGGTGTACACATGTTAAAGTACATTTTTATCCTTACATTTAATAGACATTTAACGGAAAAATTACTTTTAGATTAAATTTGATAACATATTACACCACGAGGGTTTAAATCCTAATTTTTTAACCAGGATGGCTATCTTCCAATTACATTGTTATCACAAGGACCATTTATCCAATTAGGCCTTTATTTTTTTTATATAATAGATGTGCGTGTTGTCTGCATGCATTTTTATATATGTGCTCATTGTGTTTTTCATCTTCTATTTAATATATATATATATTATATATAATATAATATATGTATATATAAGTGTGTGTGTGTGTATATATATATTTATAATATATGTATGTGCTCAGGATGATTATTGATTAATAATTTTTTTTTAATATAATATATATGTACGCTCAGTGTATATATTAAAAAATTTAGGTTCTCGCCTCGCGCCTAGGCCGGGCTATCCTTCAGACGTGTCGCCCATGCCTCACGCTTTTAATACACTGATATATATATATATATATATTAATACTAATAAATCACTAATTAATAGTTAGCAACTTTTATATGCATCATCCATGTCTATTTATAATTTATGTACTATGTACAGATTGGAGCGGAGTTTGTGGGGAGCTTCATCCTGATATTTTCGGCAGCAGCAGCACCTATTGTGAACCAAAAGTACCCTGATTCCGGGACGCTTCTAGGTAATGCGGCATGTTCAGGCCTAGCATTGACGATGGTTGTTTTGTCCATAGGCCACATCTCCGGAGCAAACCTAAGCCCGTCTGTCACCCTTGCTTTCGCAGCGTTTCGACACTTTCCGTGGTCCCAAGTTCCCTTCTACATAACAGCTCAGGTTTCAGCGTCCATTTCAGCAAGTTTTGCTCTCAAGGGTGTTTTTCATCACTTAATGTCTGGTGGAGTTACGGTTCCCTCAGTAAGCAATGGCCAAGGTTTTGCCCTCGAGTTCATTGTCACGTTCATTCTCATGTTTACTATCACTGCCGTTGCCACTGATACGCGTGCGGTATGTGTGTATATATGTCGGCATGATCTTGCAATCTAAATTCCCTTTAATTTATGATGTAAACTAATTTCTAGTTGGTTCATGCAGGTGGAGGAGATGGCAGGCGTAGCAATTGGAGCCGCAGTTTTACTCAACATTCTTGTGGCAGGGTGAGAACCATTGTTATAAACTAACATCATTTAGTCTCAGTTGATCTAAAACAAATTATACTTTGGCAGACCAACAACTGGCGGTTCGATGAACCCTATCCGGACTTTGGGTCCGGGTGTTGCCACCGGAAATTATAACGGATTTTGGATCTACTTAGTTGCACTCCCCTCTTGGTGCCTTAGCTGGTGCTGCTGCCTACACAGCTGTGAAGCTCCCAGACAATAAACCACCAAACCAGGTTAGAACTTCCCCTACTACTGCCAACCAGTCCACACAGGTTAATTAGTTAGGACAATAAAACCACCAAATCAGGTTAGGACTTCCACTTTTATTTGATCATTTGGTTCGTGTGTGATAGGTTAATGCGACACACTTCCTGACGCTAATTTGCCACAACTCCACATAGACGAATCTCCTTCCACTGTACAGGGTAATTCAAACTAGACCGATCGTGTTTCATATCATGCTCATAGCATAACCAGCTACTTGACTTATTTCGACGATCATTCTGATGACTCACGTTATGGTAGGTTTGATTACAGGTATCATCAAAGGATCTCATCGATCCTAAAAATGGAACAGTTGCTGAATCTATATATTTAGGTTGGGAATGAAATATAATTTATACTTTATAATACGCTGAAGAAAAGAGAGCTGTGTTACGTTATCAAAATTCAAAAACAAGAAATTAATTAAAGAAAACTATTTTGGAACATTCTTTACATTTACAATATTATATGTCAATATCTACCACTGAAACGGATAGAAATGATCACAGAAAGTAGAAAATGAACGGGGGTGCTGTGAGGGTAGACTAATACTGCATCTACCTAAAAAAAATATCAGATTCAGGGAGGACCCTGATTAAACTAAACTGTTATCAATAGCGGCATAAGTATTGCCTACTCACCATGAGCAATTTGATCACATTAATTGTAAATATTTTCGAGGGACGTATACAGGCCAATAGTTCACCATTAACCACACTGATATTGTCCCCTAACTTTTGTCTTATCATCTGTACACCACATCAGGCGTGGAGTTTTCATGAAACGCATCTGTGTAATTAAAAGTTGAACCAATCAATATAAGCTTATTACACAAACATAGTCCAATGGAGTTGGTGACCAAACTGAAAGTCTAAAAGTGATCGTTCAGTTCAGTTTACAACCATAAACTTCAAGAAATCGTAGGCCTCTCTAGCTTTACAAACAGAATAAACCCGCGTACATTATTATTGTTTGTGCCCGGATTCTTAATTTGTACGAGTCACTATGAAAAGCGTTGTGTTAACCTTAAAATTTATTCGAGAAAATCCAACATGAGTTTCATGGTCGATCATGAGATTTTGGGGGCCTGTGCAACGACGACAGAGACAATTTCATAAAAACTGGCATGCCTTGACGAAGAGGGGAAAAAATTGTGAATTGTTTGAATTGAATCACATAAGTTCCCTTACATAAGTGGTCGTACAACACAAATAATCTATATGCGCCTGTGAGTTCTCGCTCAGCTACATTGGATGAATATTTGTGAAAAACAGATGAGGTGGATCATGCGGTGCAGCGAGAAGTTAATGGCTTCTGGATGATCTGGAGATAAAATTATTGGAAAAAAACAGCAAGGAACGTGCACAGACAGCACAGCAAGAACAGCACAGCAAGCTCAGCAAGGAACGTGCACAGACAGCACAGCAAGGAACGTGCAAGGATACAGCACAGCAAGGATACAGCACAGCAAGCACAGCAAGGAATGTGCAAGTGCATGTGTGCTGTCAGATTACAAGTGTGTAGGGTGTAAAGTTTTCAGCTTTCTTTGTATTGTGTATAAGTATGCCTTCCATAAGGCTTTCTAAGACATGAAATATATTACAATTCAAATCAGAAAAATCAATATGGTATCAGAGCAGGAAAAATAACCTGCTTCTGCATCATCTTATCCATGTCGTAGATGGCTTCGTTGTCGACAGAGAGCCTTTCCAAGAGCAGAGAGCCGAGGCCAGAGCCGGTTCCACCTCCAACGGCGTGGAACACCAGAAAACCTTGAAGCCCCGTACAGTTATCAGCAAGCTTTCGGATTCGATCAAGGCAGAGATCAACAATCTCCTTCCATTTCCTCAAACTCTCATCATCATTATCTTTCTCAAGCTGCTCCTTGAGAGAAAACTGAGGGCCAAGAACCAACTGATCCTTTTCCGATTCCAATGCGGCGACCTCATTGTCCTCTTCATCTAGATCAACCTCATCATTACGCCCATCCTCGTCAACAGGTGGTGGAGTAATAAGCACAATCAAAATGGTGGGGGAACACTCCTTCAGATGAAGAACAATTTTTCTGAGATCCTCCTTGTACTCTTCAAGAGGAACATGTTGCCGCTCACTTGTTCTGCCTAAAATAGCCGCGTCATTGGCCCCAAAGAAAATTGTGGCAGCAGCAGGAGGTTTATCAGAATCCAGAGGAAAGAGGTGCTGCAGCAAGAACAATGCCCACCTCGTGTTGTACCCGCCATACCCACGAACTTTTACATCGGCCTTGCGGGAGTAAGAATCAGCTAGAGCGGCGCCCCAGCCACCCGATTGGAAGGATTGTTCGGTGATTGAGTCTCCGAACAACACGATCTCAGGCCTCATCGTTCTTGCTTCTTCTTCCTCCCTGCTCCTACGACCATCGAGCACGCGTGGGAATTAAGCTGATATAAAAAAAAAAAAGGAAGAAAAATTCTTTCTTTATTCTTATAGGTCTTTATATGGCGGAAGAGAATTCTTATTCGTTTGGAGATTCCCAGATACCTTCCTCCTCAACCGTGTCTGAGGTGGATGTCAATCCAAATCAAAGATTAAGCTCGATCTTGTTAAATGAGTTTAATTACTTACCTTGGTCAAGAGCAGTGAGTCTTGCCCTAGGTGGAAGGTCCAAGCTAGGGTTCATAAATGGAAGCATCGAAGTTCCTGATGTTTCTTCACCAAATTATGAAATCTGGCTTTGCAAGGATCAGCTAGTTATGTCATGGCTCCTAAATTCCATGGAACGTAAACTAGCTGAAATATTCAGTTATTCTGAATCATCATTCAAACTATGGCAGACAGTCAAGGAAATGTATGGCAGCCAGAACAATGCTGCATGTGTGTTTCAATTGAAGAAGAACATTTCCAACATACAACAAGAAGGAAAGCCCTTTGTTCAACTTCTAGGCAGCATGAAGAGCATGTGGAATGAGCTGGAAATGTATCGGCCTCACACAACTGAGGCGTCTTTACTACTGAAAAGGGCAGAAGAAGACAAGATATTCCAACTCTTGTCAAGTCTCGATCCAGGATACGAAGACCTACGAAGCCACATACTCATGAACCCCGAACTACCTTCCTTCACCAGCGTATGTGCAACAATCCAACGTGAAGAAGTACGAAGGAAAGTCATGAACACTGGCACAAAGACCAGTGTAACTGAAGCAAGGGCTTATCTAGCCAACGAAAAAAAATACAAAGTGAAGACTCCACACTTAAAGTGCCAACACTGCAACTATACTGGTCACGTTAAGGAGACATGCTGGATTTTACATTCATAATTAAAGCCAGAGTTCATGAAGGATAACAAGGGCTCACAAAGACTGAACCGTGCACCACATAGAGCCAACAATGCAACTACCTCAACCTCTCATAGGTCTGATGCACTCAAGAGCTTCACTGCAAATCCAGCTGCACTCATAAATGAGTTTGCAGTGTATCTTCAAAGCAAGAAAGAAAGGATTAAGAGTGACCAAACGGTCGGCTTTGAAGATGGAAGTTCAATAGCTTTGCTAGGCAAGTTTGCTGGATTTCTGACAGAAACACAACACATGGCCCAAGATGACATGCAAGGTATCATGACTGCTTTTAAAACTGCTCTTAATGTAAATATGATGCATGATTTGTGGATTGTTGATTCGGGTGCCACAGATCATATGACCAACCATGTTTCTAAGTTTCACAAGTTTGAAAAATTTTCAAAACCGTCTCAAGTCTCAACTGCCAATGGTGAGAGTTCTAAGGTTTTAGGGAAGGGAAATATCAACTTAATATCGGACAAAATTGAGTCAGTAGCCTTATTTGTTCCTTCTTTTCCATTTCAACTTCTATCTGTGGGAAAAATCACCAATACCTTAAATTGTTTGGCCATTTTCTCTCCTCACAATGTCATTTTTCAGGATTGCCTCACCAAGAAGACGATTGGTGAAGGGTTTTACCTTGATGGCCTCTATTACATATCAAAAAACAGTCCCAGAGGATTTCAAGCCAAGTCCAGTCCATCCCAAGATAGTCAATTATGGCATCAACGTTTAGCTCATCCTTCCCAACCTGTTTTGTCTTCCTTGTTTCCAAACTTAGGTAATGATTTAATTTCGTGTGAAACATGTCATTTGTCTAAAGCCACCAGATTGTATTTTACCTCATCCTTATCTAGGACTAGTAAAGTTTTCGAACTAGTTCACTCAGATGTATGGGGACCAACGTTTGAATCTTTTGATGGTTATAAGTATTATGTAACTTTTGTTGATGATTTCTCTAGAGCCACATGGTTGTACCTTTTAAAGTCTAAGAGTGAAGTGATTGAAGTTTTTAAGGATTTTCACAATCTTGTTAAGAACCATTTTTCCTCTCAAATTCAAACCTTAAGATCTGACAATGGCACCAAATATATGTCTCATATCATGTCATTATATTTGAGCAAGCATGGTATCATGCATCAAACAAGTTGTGTCGGCACACCTCAACAAAATGGTGTAGCTGAAAGGAAAAATCGTGACATTCTGGAAAAAACGAGAGCATTAATGTTACAAATGAACGTACCAAAGAGATTTTGGTCACAAGGAGTCATGGCGGCTGTGTACATCATCAATAGACTTCCTAGCCGAGTCTTGGGGTTTAAATCTCCACTTGAAGTCATGAAAGGAAGAAAAATCGACCTTTCACATCTTAGAGTCTTTGGCTGTGTCTGTTTTGTTCATATACAATCACACCATCGAGATAAGTTGGACCCTAGAGCTCTCAAATGTATTTTTCTTGGTTATTCATCAACACAAAAAGGATATAAGTGTTATGATCCTCAACTAAGAAAAATAATTGTATCTAAAGATGTACGATTCCATGAAGCTAACCCTTTTTTCAGCAAATCACATGAAGCCACAAGTCAGGGGGAGTGCATCTTAGACCTAATTCCTCTACCAAGAATCTGTACTTCTACACCTCCCATTGAAGTCAATAATGAAGGTACTCATCCTGATAATTCTGTGCATGATGATGACTCGGTGCATGATGATGACAACGGCAACATAGAAAATCCTCAAGGAGTGGATGACAATTTGAATGAGCATGAGACAAACCTCCTAGTACCTCGACGCAATCCTCGGCGTGATAGACAACCTCCCACAAGGTTTCAAGATTTTGTCACATATAAATCGAGGCATCCAATTTCAAATTGCGTGTCGTATCAAAAGGTAACTCCATCTCATGCTGCCTTTCTTAACAACATTTCAAGTCACAGTGAGCCTCAAAACTTTTATGAGGCTAATAATCAAGTTGTGTGGAAAGAAGCAATGAGAGAAGAACTCAAAGCACTAGACCAACACAAAGCTTGGAGCATCACCAAACTTCCACAAGGAAAAAAGGCAGTAGGCTGTAAGTGGATCTATAAGATCAAGTTTAATTCTGATGGTTCGATTGAGAGGCATAAAGCCAGGCTGGTGGCTCGAGGATTCACTCAAACATTTGAGGTGGATTACAAGGAAACATTTGCTCCTGTTGCAAAAATGAACTCAGTAAGGGTTCTATTGTCTGTTGCCGTCAATAAAGGTTGGTCTATGTATCAAATGGATGTGAAGAACGCCTTTCTACATGGTGATCTTGAAGAATAAGTCTATATGAGATTGCCACCAGGACAACCTCAAAGCCAAGAGCCTAATTTGGTGTGTAAGTTACATAAGTCAATTTATGGACTGAAGCAATCACCACGTGCTTGGTATGCAAAACTAAGTACCGTTCTTCATAGCATTGGTTTCAAAAGGAGTAATGCAGATTCATCATTATTTGTTCGCACAAGAGCTGCAAGCAAATTAGTTGTGTTGATATATGTGGATGACTTAATAATTACAGGTGATAATGCTGCTGAAATCACCACACTCAAACAGTCACTTCAACAACAATTTGCGGTTAAAGATCTTGGGGTGTTGAAGTATTTTCTTGGAATCGAAATGGCATCTTCTTACAAGGGACTATTTCTTAATCAACGAAAGTACGTCATGAACCTACTTAAAGATGCCAATATGAGTGATGCTAAGCCTGCACTTACCCCTCTTGATAGCAAGCTCAAGCTTGACTTGGGAGGCACGCCACTCTCGGATATCAGCTTATATCAGAGGCTTGTCGGCAAGCTGATCTACCTAACGATCACCAGACCAGACATCTCACATTCAGTAAGTATTGCTAGTCAGTTCATGCACTCTCCCACCATCGAGCATCTGAACCTTGTCAAAAGAATCTTACGTTACTTAAAAGGGTCTGTTGGTCGTGGCATCCTCATGACAAAGAATGACAACACTCAAATCATGGGGTACTGTGATGCTGATTGGGCAGGAAACGCAATCGATCGCAAGTCCACCACTGGTTATTGTACCTTTGTTGGTGGAAACCTGGTCACATGGAAGAGCAAGAAACAAACTGTCATCGCAAGATCAAGTGCCGAAGCTGAATATCGTGCAATGGCCTCAACCGCGTGTGAGCTGATATGGCTAAAAGGACTTTTATGTGACTTAGGTGTGTTCACAGCTCAACCAATGACCTTATTCTGTGACAACCAGGCTGCCATGCACATAGCATCAAACCCCGTCTTTCACGAGAGGACGAAGCATATTGAAGTCGACTGTCATTATGTCCGTGAACAAGTACAGTCGCAGGTGATTCAGACACATTATGTAAAAAGCCACGATCAGCTAGCTGATATATTCACCAAACCTCTGACTTCTCATCAGTTTCAAAGACTCCTCTCCAAGTTTGGATCCATCAACCTACTGGATCCAGCTTG